TCCTGCAATATGATGCTAGAATTATTACAATACTCAAAAATTTAATTATTTATTTTTTATAAAATGTATAGTTTTAGTTTTCGATGTCATTCATGTATGGTTTCATTTGGTCTCATTCATTTTGCTCAAAAAATTTACTTAGACGTATTTTGCCTTTAGCTCGGCATTCATTGTAAATCAATTGTATCCATTTTGCCTTGGTATGCAACTCACTTGACGTATTAAACTACCGTTATGTGTCTGAATCTCGCAGCTTCCATCTTATGTTTCAATGGTTTAAGCGACCAGTCGTTGATAACGATGCTATCAGCTTCTCTCTTATATTTTACAATGATTTAAGCGACCAGTCGTTGATAACCAAGTTTTGCGACCAGTCGTTGATAACGATGCTATCAGCTTCTCTCTTATATTTTACAATGGTTTAAGCGACCAGTCGTTGTTGATAACCAAGCTATTCCAGACGTGTGTTCTCACTGTTCAACTGGCGCAGCGTTCGTATCGATGCTACCAATTGCTAAACCATGGCCCTGTTGTTCTGTCGCCTGGAATTCCAACGAAGTTTCTTGGCTCAGAAATGCCTCGTAAGCCGTCACTGGCGCTCGTCATAGGGTATTTTATTCTCGTACATGTATTTGTCGCAGCCGCGCATCTACAGATAATTTGAATATCATTTATGTTAGTTTTGCTTTGCGAAGGGGCAATACGTTGAGAATTACTGAACTGTCAGCTTGTTTTTTTTCTGTACAGCGAGACATCAAGTGAACTGTGGTATTTTTAATGGCTTTTCTCCTCTATTGAAAGCTTCATTTATAATTGTATTATTTAAAATTAGATGCAATCAATACTTATTACATTACCCATTAAGTATATTATCAAACCGAGCATCGATGTTTACAGGAAATCGAGCTTATAGTTTGTTCCATCTCTGATTGCTTTTTTATTATCAAAATTATAATACCATTTCTATGCCGTGAAAATGTTATAGGAAATGACGAGACATAGTAATGGTGTTTATGTCCTGGATCTTTACTTTCAGAGTACGTTACTCTTTACGCGAATTCTAACGTAATTCGGCTGCGAAAGATGAAGCGGTTATATTTCCACCCTTTCAATGGCAACGAAAAAAAAGGCATTGATTTCAACGTTTCATCAACGTTTATTTAACGTTATTTCAACATCAGATGCCTGGTGCCGCGGCGCCATGAAGAGTTTAACACAAGAAGAAGACCTAGAAAGTTTAACATTTGATTCGATGAATGCATTTCGATACTTATGTTTCTGGAATAAAAACTTCAAGTCTAAATGCCAAAAATTTGTTAAACTGTTATGAAATATTCTAACTTTGAAAGATTTGATTGAATATATACTGAATGTGTGTAGCTTGAGACGCGATGAAGGCGAGGCCAGTCAACTCTAAATGCTAAATTTTGTAAAAACTTTTATGATATATTCTAACTTAGAAAGGTTTAGATTTGATTGAAGATATTTTGAATGTGTGTAGCTTGAGACGCGATGAAGGCGAGGCCAGTTAACTCTAAATGCTAAATTTTTAAAAAAACTTTTATAAAATATTCTAACTTAGAAAGGTTTAGATTTGATTGAAGATATTTTTAATGTGTGTAGCTTGAGACGCAATGAAGGCGAGGCCCAGCAAGCAGGTATCGTTTGTGTCAGGAGGAGAGACTGGCCGCGTGGGGGTCAGCTTTAAAGAGCAGCGCCGTGCGTCGCGCTCGCGTGCTACACCTGTGCCCATTGCTTTAGTCCTTTGACATGCTTTCTCTCTTGCAACCTTGCTGCCTTTGTGCTTCTGCTACTCTTGTACACTGTTAGGAAAATTACCGTTAACGGTATTACCGGCGTTTCACTGGCCGGTCGGCGCGTGAAAAGAAACACCGTGTCGTCATTTTTTATTCTAATTTAACACTAGAAATCTGAAAAACATCTGATAAAAACGGCGAAACAGTTTATTTTCACGGGGCGACCGGCCACTAGAACGCCAGTGGGACCGTTTTTTCACCATTTTTTCTAACAGTGTAGTGCCGGTCAGTAAAATATGGTGCTTAGATGCCATTATATTCCTTTATTTTCATCATGTTTTATATATTTGCCTATGCGCTTTTGTTCCTATTTCTATGCCACAAATTTATATTATAATCTTGCCTTGCGAAGTTTTTTTTTGCAGGTTTGTGGCCTTCGCCAGTGCTGTTTATAACCGTGTTGAACTATGATATTAATTTTTGTTTCTTTTCTGTTGTTGTAGTATCATTTCGGTCTACAACGAAACAGTATTGCTGTAACAGAGATGTTCGAGATCAATAGTGTACTTAATGATGTACTTCATTAAACATTCATGAATGAAGGGTAGTTAAATTATTGCTACGATAATGACTTCTAAGCAAATTTTTGTCTGATTTATACCTCATACGAGTCTCATTGAATCGTCGAATGATGGATGTTCCATCTAATTCAGGATCACTTTGAAGGCGTTTCCAATGCAGTTAATGCAAGCTGAAGATCTCCTTCCAATTACTCCAATATCAATTTGCTCACAAATTGGCTGCTGGAAGTCGTTTCACAAACTTTATTGATCTCACGTTACTGTAGTAAATGCAATCGAGCTCTTTCGGTAATTTGTCTTGCCTTAACTTACTGTATTGGCTTGTGAGATTGTGTGTAGACTTCAGAGTGGAAATACCGTGATTATCTTAGATTGGAATGTATTGTTACATCGACAACTGCTGTAGATTGGCAATAACCCATAAGTTCACTTAGCCTATTCATCTTTAGAGAGACAATACAAAGAATTCAGGTGCATTTTTGATTATGTGTAAATAAGTTAAACTTGTAGAGCTTTGTTTACGTCCTAGTGTGTAAATGCGAATTTATATATTCACGCATCGAGCCGGCTCACGTCCTTTAAGTTTTTTGACTTGATTACTGCACTGTGCACGGTTTCTCTGCTCTGAACAAATATGGAGTTAAATTTCCAACTGCAACGTCTCTTTCTGTTGAAATGAGAAGGTGAGGTGATGAGGTCTCGGTGTTCTGGAGGTTGGTGCTTCTATATAATTTTGTATCTCACTTCTAGCTTCATTAAAGAACTTCTCGTGAGTCAAAAGAAATAACGTTCGGGTATGATGAATGTCTTCTGACGCCAAGAATTAATGACGTTCTCTTTAAAATCCGTTCTTCACATATTTTACATAATTTATAATCAGTTCTGAATAAAATGTTTTTCTATTTACATCGGTGTACTTCCCCTTCGCACTATAGTACACAATTATTTTTTTTAATGCAGTTGCCTGATATTTCGCTGACCCTCAAGAAATTGCTGTTGGATACCTTAGTTAAATAGCAGGATTGTTGAGGTCGTTCTTCAAACACTTTTTGCATGACTTCATAAAAGTTTGTTATTGCATTAATTATTCGGTCAGCAAGAAAAAATTTCACGCAGCGCTCCGCGAAATTTTTTCACTCAAGTTACTACAAATTAATAATGTCGTAGCATCGCCTCGGAGAATATGAGACGTCGAGGTGTCAAAGTTGTGCTGTGCTACTCTATTACTCAATAGATACCTTATGTTGATAATAGTTTTTGTGTTGAATTGTGTGATACGTTTATAAAGATGGCGTCTATCAGCCGTAACAAAAGGTTTGAGGAAGAGACTTCACTTCGTGTCGACTAACGTATATTTGTACTGATCAAACCTGGTCATCTGAGCATTGTGTGACGAGGTTAACTGTATTGATGCATGTGGTGCGTGATGCACTGCATCGCACTTGGTCCACGCGTCCATCACCTGCCACCACTACCTTCTAATTTGCCTGCCAACCTCCACTTCTTATTGAATACAACTCTAGACTTTGTTCTGCTGATGCACTCTATGTACGGCTGGTTGTACCTTCCTCTATAGGAACGCGCTTACCACCGATAACTGTTCTTTAGTCGTGTGTGAATTGCCCATGTCACGTGACGGGCTGCTAAGTTAGTTATTTTTTGACATTCAAATTCAAGTTTAGTTGTTACTTATAATAAAAATTTTGTTGGCTCTATTGTCTTTTCTATATGTAGTAGATAATAGTTCTTGATTATTCAATTTACGTGATCAACAACTCATGATTCAAATTTACTATTCACGTTGCCGGTTTACTCGAGTAAAGCCGGTCCGTGTGAAGCAAGGGTGAATATTTATTCACTCATAGGCATCTCGATCGCGTGTGTTGGGCACGCGATCGGGAGTTGTTTGAAGCACTCACTAAGCCTGAATAAATGGAAGCTTTGTCGGAACATGAGTGCGGGCTACCGTTTATCATCATCATCAAGCTCAGGGCTTCTTAATAGATCGCCTCAAGACCTTCACTTTTTCTACATGTCCTACTTTGTGGCTAAAGTGCCCAGGGGCCATACTTTCAAAACTCGCTAAGTGAACGTAAGTACTTACGCTCTATTTTCTTGTCTATGATTGGTGGATTTTGCATGAAAGGCCGTCAATGATTGGCTGATGAACTTACGATATCTTAACTTTTTTTGAAAGTATAGTATATAGGCCCTGGTTTTGAGAGATTTAAGGGCAAAGAGCGTGCTTTGGCTGACGCATACCTACTTACGTATTTGGGTGACTTGCACACTCGTCATTTCTGCTCAGGTTTAGTATTTAGATTTCTCTCTTTGCCTGCCACGAGTTTTTGTTTAACAGTTGACACAAGCTCTACCTTTTTGTACTGAAATAAGTTATTATATATCTTTATGTTATATTAAAGCAGTTGATAAATATTCTGCTAATCCATGGTAAACTATCTTCTTATCCATGGTCACCGGAGCGTCCACCATACAGTGCTCATGACAGTGAATGCCATCCTTATATGCTATGTTATCTGCGGGATCCAATACCCTAACAAAATTTAGAGACGAGGGCGGCTCTGAATTAAGTACCGCCTAGGACTCGGGGAGCATAGTCCACCAGCATCCCTATGTCCGCGTTTCGGTCTACAGGGGGAGGACAAGGCAATTCTCCTCCTCCCCACCCTCTCCTCCAGTGGGAGGAAGGGAGGGGAAGTTGAATACTTAACTACACGAGTTTATTTTCAATATCTTTTTCGACTCGTTGAAGATTATGATGATACAAGAAAATTCTGAACACTATTTGATGGTGTACTGGTGCAAAATATATTCTACCAACACACAAAAATGTTTGGTACCGATTTCTAGCCGAAAACATGCGCGTTCAGTCTAACTCGATATTTTTACTCTCTCCAACACAAGTTCGAGTAAAGCTTCGGCATTCAATTTTGAACCTAAATACAACACAGATGGATAAGAATTTCCTTTACCCGCATCAAAATAGTAAAACCTTAGAGGCTATATCACTTACTATCGCACAAGTTTTTTTTTCAATTCAATAGCAGGCTACGAGTAGTTCAAATTTCATATTCATTCTCATTCAAAATTCTTTTATCGAGCGCATACAACGAGTAAGTTAATTCTCTTTTCATCACCAGTTCAACACTCAACGAATCAGGTGACCTAACCCCTCAGCACCCTCAGCACAAATGACAAACAAAAATTATTGTAAATTTCATGTTTGAAAATTGTATCAACTAACAGGTTATATCACAATCGCATAATCGGTTCATCAATTGAAGATTGCGTATGAATCAGCATAAATTTGATACTGCGGATCCCAGGCACCAAACCATTACGCCAATATTTAATTCCTTTTATAATCTACAACTTACCACTAGCAAAATACAGCATAACACGATACCTCGTATATCATTAATGGAAACTGAGAGAAGGCGAACTTTTGGTTAATAAAACACTCATTCAATATTCTCTTACAGCACATCTTACGCAGAAGCTACTCATCTTTCAGCAGAAATATTTGAACACTCACGAAAATAAAATACATATATAGGTGGCCAGATAATTATTTCCTACACCATCAGCAAAACTGGCAAATGAAAAATATGGTCCATTTCATGTTTGCAAATTGACGATATAAATATTTACAGCACCGTTCACTTGGCCAGGCAGGTTTGGCACTTGGCTTATATGCACGTTTATTCCAGGCATTTATTATAATTCGAGGAGCCTGACGGCTTTGGAAAAAACGCAGTCTATTGGAGAATTGAAAGTTGCATTGTATAGCCTCGGTGAGGGTCTTGGAGTGGCCGAAATGCCGTTAGATTCTTCGGCACTTTCTTGCACTTCCAAAGTCGAAGTTGAAGATTCATTCTGTTTCAGAGGCACTGGTCGTCGTCGGACGCGGTTGTTTCTGCCTCCATCTCACTGGAGTACCTTTTTTATTGCACTCATGATTGCTTGGTTTACTTCAGGTCTTGCATTGACGAATCTCGTTTTCTTGAGAGCGACTGTAAAATACGTAAGAAAATAACTGCACGGGCTAACAATAAACTGAAATGAACAAAATAGCGTTAAAACATCTCTGTAAGACATTGTCAATCCAAAAGGTATATAGCGGATCTAGTGATTGAGCCAACTATAGGAATAGAAAGGAATAAGGAGCAGATCGCACTCGTAGGTGAGCCAGTCTTTGAAAGTCCAGCGCTACAACCGCATTTTAAGCTATTGCGGTGCCAGGAGCGTGCGTAATTTGCAAATTACGATTATAACGATTACTATTCCCTGCAAATTCATAAAAAGATTCGTTTTTAGAGACACAAACAACCATGACTCACAAGGGGCAGTAACACTCGTGTGATGTCTTCTTTGAACGTCTGAATCAATTGTTATTTTTACAATAACAAAGGGAACTCTGCGCGTCAAGAGCAACCTTAGATGCCATTATAAAAGCTAACCGTTTCACTGGGCTTCACCGATATATAGATGAAAAAATTTCCATTAGAAATCAACCCTATCAAAAAAGTTCTATTCAAGGCGTTTGTTTGTTCATCCACTAGTGAAAAAACTAGGAACTTCAAACAGTAGAAGTCGCTACTTTCGTAGTTAAACAGGGCACCAAGTTTCCTACTCTTCTAGATTGCAATGTTCATTGTATGTCAACATGGTTTCATTAATGGTTTTTTCATAACTTACCTGATTCCTCTCGTATGCTTCGTGATTTTGGAAGCTTTTCTTGGTCTTCCGACGTCGAGCAACGAGCAAAGAACGAGAAGACCACTGAACGAGAAGAGGAAAGTCTTTGAAGAAGCTTCAACGTTTTCCTTATAGTGGACTGAAGCGACGACAGCTCCACCCCAGCCAGCCTATCCATCTGATAAAATGTTGAAAATGTCTTAACCCGTAAATATAAGTCACATACTATTGTGAAAAAACTTGCTACTCAATTTCCAGCTTTCTGGAAGAGTGTCGTGTTTGGTCGCCATAAGTAAATTTTTAACATCTCCGGACTTCTTCTCAAACATAATATATTAGCTTACAATGTAATTGATTACGAAATCTTAGCAGCAAAATTTACGACTGTGTTACATTTAGTGTGAATCAAAGATCACTGGGTAAATACTTGATGCACTGCTACTGCTATCTGTCAGGAACAACCAGATTGTATTTCTGTACTTTGAACCGACACAACTGAATCCCACACAGTTTTGTGTTTTACAGACCATTCCATATTTACCCTTTTCATTTTTTCTTCTACTGAGATAGCCAAGTGCATGCCAGAGCTGTCGTCGGTGTCCTTTGCTCACTCTGTTCACAAGTATCCCCAATAGGGATGTCTGACTATTCCCCAGTCGCAACACATTAGCATTCCAACCTGTAAAGATATAACCTAAATACCCATTGATCTATTAAAATATGGAGACATCATTGTATGCAACACTGAAAATTTGTCCTGATAAAATATAATAAATTAGGAGCATTTGCCTTCTTTGATTGTTTGAGATTTTATTTAAATGACCCACACTCATGTAACAATTGACGTAAATTGCCATGAGTCTCCACTTCCTATTACAACTGAGTTTTCTCTAACCTATACTGGTAGTTTTTATTACTAGTAACCACTAACTAGGTGCCTATACTAATACTCTAGTAACTTTATCACTATCAGTATCATGAAGGTGCAATATTTCAGTCAATATTGCCTAATGTCAACAATAATATATATGTCTCGATTCTCTACTTCCATGTGTTAATATCAAAAGCAATGTCACACACACACATATATACATACATATATCATGATTAGGTTTTATGTAGAGTATATGTAATTTTTGAAAACCTGACTGCTTAACTTCGAGGTTTCTTTGTGGAATTGATTTTTAAAAAATCTGCTCCACACATTAAGATTGACTAAACTCGAGCAATGAGTTCATATGGATGACCCTGAATTCTGAAAAAACATTTACAGACAGGTCTTTCTATCGGCAAGCTTCCATACTTGGCAGCGCAGCGCCATGACAGCACATCATCATCTAAATCAATCAAAAAGTATACAAAAAAATTCTAAAAAAAACTTTGTATACTTCTAAAAGTATACGAAAAAGAGGAAAGCAAGGTCAGGCAAAATGGTGAATGAGATTCACTTGACCTTCCTTGTTACTATTTGAGCCCGTTAAGTAGAGTACTGGACCAGTATCATTCATAAATACCAGCATGGATTGAAGAATTGTCCTTCATTAGATATAGAACCACGAGATTGAAGTAGATCAGGAAAGTAAAAATGTATGATCTCTGAGAAAACGTCTCAGTTGTCAGTTTCACCATGACTGTAAGTAGGCTAACTGGTCTAGGAGGAGTGTTATTAGAGCAGAAAGCAAAAGGAACAATAATTTGTGGTCATATTGAAGATGAAAGCAGCCAAGAACGGAAAATAAAGTACAAGAGAAAGTTATAGCTTATATCAGTATTTTGAAAATGATTATTTACTGAACAAATGCACATTTGATCATTTTTTGGTATATACCTATATTGGATGTAAAACTGTGGTTTATTAGCTATGTTTTGCTAATAACCTATTTGGAACTGATTAGGTTTCAAGGCTGGAATGATCTTGAATTATAGGCTATGAACCAACCAGTAACCACTCTCCCCTAAGTCCTAACCACTTAAAGCACCATAATGATGCTGATGCATTTCATAGTGGTTGTGGCTTTAATAAATAAATTCATGGTGATAAATCAGAGATTTTTTTGAATCAGTTCATTTCAACTTCTTCAATTATAATCAAGATTTAGATCAATTATTATTGTATAATAATGCTAATATCCATGATAGCCTACTTTACTGGTCTACATATAGGACTCGAAAATGAACTTGAGGTAGAGTGGTAGCCTAGACTCTAAAACCTCTCTGCTTTGCCAGTGCCACCATTTCTAAAGTACCGACCAGGCACAGCTAGAGCACTTAGCCCTGACCTAGGCCTAGGGTTACTGCAACAGCAGTCACTGCAGTTTCATATTAAGCAAAAAATTTTTTATATGCAACTAAAATTTGTGAATTTTTAAAATCTGAGACGATTGCACCCTAAAATTAATCAGTAATTATTTCAAATCACCATGACCGTTGACCGCCATTACTACCTGACCACCACGCGTCACGACTTAGCTACAACGGTTACGATTTACGAACCCCTCTAACTTCTAAGACTAAGAGCTGTAGTATTTGTGATCCATCGTATTAACTAACATACAGATACATTTTCATTTCAACTTTCCAACTCACACAGATAAAATTCAAATTATTCCAACGACAGCCAGCCACCATCCGCAGCCATCTCACACTTGCTTTCCTTCTGTGTTCTGTACTAATCTGTTTCTGTAGTCGTTCTCAATCGTCGGCCTGCAAGCAGTGTTCCAATACTTCATCGGTTCAAAAAATTGGCATATACCTCCATTTCAATCTATTCATGTTTCATGAATATTGCTACACCACCATCACATAAATTTTAAAATATTTTTCATATGAATAAAATATTTATGATGCATATGAAAATATTCTTAGACCGAAATATATAACTTGAATAGTTTTTAGATGAGCTAATTACTACCGTGCAAAAAAACTACTGCTTGTGTTCAGACACCTTTAATTAAATTTTCCACTTGAAGCAAATGAATATTTCTCAGTTTCCTGCATCAGAACAATAATAGATTAGCTGGATTCCATAAATACATCCTGTTTCCTTACTATAATAGTCTGCATCACTCGAAGGGTTGAAATATTTAGACTACATATCCTTATGTTCACGAACTGTATTTTAGAATTCAAAAAATAATTCACTTCTACTTCGAGTGATGCCGACAGACAAGAAATTAGTTATTTATTTATTGATGAAAGATTAGTTATTTATATTTATTTCATAGTCATTTAGTTATACATAATTAATTGAATAATTTTATCTTCTTTTCTACCTCTTTCATATAAATTATAGTATGAAACCAAAATAATATGGATTTTTTGTTTATTGATAATTGAAACGCTAGGTCGGTTGAATGCAAATGAACTGTTAACTGCCACTACCCGAAGAAATCGATATTACATACAATTGTGAGGCCTAGTCTGCCATTGAACCGATGCATAAAAACATTTGCTGAATTATATCAGGGATCCATTTTAAGTTTATTTACAGGGATTGGGCATGCTCGTACTCAAACGTCTCGGAGGCTTCTGCCCGGGGCCTTCTGTCCAGGGCTTGATTTGCAGCACCTGCGCAGCGTGCAAGTTCGGTATAATTGGCCGAGCCAACTCATGCAATACTCCTAGGCGACTATAAAGTCGGCATGGAGCTTCTGACTAGTTGCTGATCGCGGTCAGGTGGCCAAGCAGACCCAGAATTACTCTAACGCGAGCATAGCGACTCTGGGGCGGAGGCTGAAGCATACCTTGAATTTTGTTAGGGTATGCACATTTGCCTCTCATATAAATTAGTGTGCAGAGGTGCTTCTTATAAAATTAGCATGTAAATGTTCGCCGTATAAAAGAAGTGGGAAAATGAGCGTCACACAAATGAGTACGCATATGTATATACGGCACATGTGAATTTTTAGCACGCAAATGTGGTGCTTCTTGAGAGAAATTTCGATAAACATTATCAAGGGAGAAAAATTTCGCTCATCAAGGAAGGCAGATTTGCCACATTGACAGCATCGTCCGGAGTTACCCGGTAATATCTCATGGAATTGATCTTATTTATTGTGGTTTTGCAACAGCAGACAATAACTTTCATGCTGTGTCAATCATGACGACCTGAATATACGCGTGAATAGCTCAACCCCCAAGAAATTGAATGATCTTTTGATAATTTGAAACAATTAAAATAAATGTCAAATAAGTAAGCCAATAAAATATTTTTCTTTCGTTTCTCATTCATATCTTGAACAATTTTAAACTTAACAAATGCGTTGGAATAAATTTTAAGTTCTTGACGCGTGAGAATCCCGTCGTAAATCGAGTCATCTCCACCTTCGTCCGCGGGAGCCCAAATCTCCAGGTTAATGATTAGGGCTTTGAGGGTTCTTAAACCCAGCAGTTGCTGCCACAAAAAAAATATATTCCTAGTAGATTTTTTAGACATTGATGACACGAGATCTACGTAGGAGAAGATTATCATATCACGAGCAGCTTGAATTTTTTTCCTGCCTCAAGACTCATTTTTTTGAACTTGGAAACATCTGCAGTTAAACGCAGCTATATCTTTATGCATGATTGCATATATCTATGTGGTATAATAAACAACATACTCAGATTTACGTATGATTTTAATTAATTTCGACTGATAATTTTGACATTGTCAATAACTCTGCGAACATTATTATGTTTACATCCGTGGGAAATTTTCCCCCTTGTGTGAAGCTTTGGCTCATTAATTTCCATTTAGTTCGTCTTCTCTTGTTATTTCTATGACCATTCGGGTGTCGTGCTATCTCTTCATTTTAGGTAGGAAATAATTTTCCGAACGAGATGCTCCTCAATAAAATATTTTATCAACAAGCGCAACCAAATCTCAGGTCTGTCAATTCCATTACAACTTTTTTTCATTAAACATAGATTAAATACTAACGAGTAGCTATATGAGTTATTGAAAATCATCGTATGTTTTGCAGTACCATATTTCGGGAGGGTGCGGATCCTTACCTTTGGTCAGTCATTTTCCATTTTGAGTTGATCCGGCGATCAGTCCTCGCAAGACTTGGAAATCTATATATACTCAAGCATCGAACATAAAGCTTATTCGATGCACACACCATACTTCTACCTAATAAAATTGAACGTAATAAAGTTAACCAGCTCATCCAACATTATTCGGTTTATACATGCATTTATACATGCTATTCGGTTATTGATAAATATTACATTCCACATACATAAGCGCTCTGTTTCTCTCGATGCAATGCAGTTATAATCCCTCAAATATCCTTGATATTTGATTGTGTCGTGACTGAACAATTTGCGTTGTTGTGTATTGAGAGACAGTTTTTTAATGAAGATACTTAGAAGAAAACTTTTGAATTGATCAAATTGACTCCAAACTCATTTTGTACCTTATTAAAGAATTAATAAACTCAGAGGCACAGATCGAGTACATAGCCGAAACAGAAACGAAAGAACTTTGATATAAGAAAACGATGTCGAAACATTTTCAACAGCTGAAGACGGTTGATAATACGTATTTAGGTGCATATTTTTTATATACGTACAGCAAAGTGGCACCCGGACATATGCAAGCTTAATTCGATCCGAGGTCAGGTTATGGCCAAAAAGTTCCCTTATGGAGAAGAATAGAGGAAACAAAAAAAAAAAAAAAACAGCACATAATGCTTAACTTCCATATAACTGACAGTGGTAGATGGGATGTAGTGGATGCGTGCATGAATCAGGTAATGGATCGTCACAGCAAGAGAACTTATGTATTCCAGAGCAGAGATTCTGCTGTTGGATAAAGGTTTTCGACTTTCCGGATCACAGAAATCGTTCGAATGTAATGACGAATGTTTAAACGTGGGGTTTCCCAGAATTATTATTTACATTGTTTTAATTAGATAATTTGAATTCAACCCTCCAACACAATAGCTGCGAGACGATGAATTGCCCGTTGATACTTGTTTAAAATCATTTCAACTGTTCTAATTGGGACACTTGATTGCAGGAGCGCTGATAGCCAAGGATCAGCATTGCTGTGACGGCTTTGGTAGCGAATGCGTTGGAGGCCGTTTTTGAAGTCCATCGCATTCTGCAGCTCCCTCATCCAACATCCATCGCTGTAATTAAACTGCTCCAGAGAAAGTAGTTCATGCAATGCATTTAAAATGAAAGCTGTTAAGATCACATAATGCGTTGGAAAAAAATACAAGGGCTGCATCATGGGCTATAAGAGTATGCATTAAAAATTACATTGTAATAATTTACGTCCAGTATTTTCGGAATTTTGAGGAACGAATTTCGACAGAGCATCCAATCAGTTTACTTTAGAACAATCTGACCTGAGACGCGACAATGATTGATGTCTCGAACGCAAGATCATTCCCTCGAAGAAGTTCTGACGAATCTGACATCGGCAATGTTGTCAACATGCCATCAATAAATTCTCCTTAGTTGCAATAAAAATACTTATTGCAATTTTTTTTACCGAATTTTGTGGGCGCTCTGTATATACCTAATCATAGTTTTGCGTTCTTTGTAAGCGCAAAAGAATTTCCGGAATAAAGTGATTTTTTTCAATTGCAGCATAAATTTCAGTGCACGGATTCCAGTTTTCAAAATAAACGGAAGACTTCGGAGGGTTCATGTATATAAGCAATAAAATAATTCAAATGCTAGTCCCATTAGTCAATCACCATTCACATTTTATTCTAAAGTTCTGTATGCTTAACTCAGATCAAATATCTAAAAACTTAATAGCAAATAAAACACCACAAAAATTCATAGTATCTTTAAAGAAAACGTTTCGGAGTCCAGCTCCATCGTCAGTTCGAAAATCCTAGAACACAGATAAATTTGCGATTCAAGCAAACGAGTGATATTATTACTTAGATCAAATATCATCGTAGATCTTGTGATCACTCACAAATTTTTTAAGGGAAGCGTCCGGGTAAAGCGTCAAAATAAATAAGTTTCTGTGAAACTTTTTTATTTAGTGACGGATCTTTGTGAAACTTCGTACACATTCGTATAGTGGCAAGCGAATTTTGTTCATGTGAATTTTTTTATAAATGAAAGAAAAAATGAAATGAATACTGAATAGAAAACGGCAGAAAGAGGGGGTCAAAATCAATCTCATAAATAAATTTACGCGCTTCAACATCGACAGAAATGTCATTTGGTTCGTAAAAATAATATCTACCGATTCTAGAAGCCTTTTTTAGCGCATTTTCTCATTTATCGAAAAAATTCACTATTGAGCTCTCCCTGTCCGTCTATTCATCCTCTGTCTGTCTGTCTGTCTCTCGATCGGTCCGTGACTTCACGTTTTCGTCGACGAGAAAATGCGCTCTCTGTCACTCACTGCAGTGAGTACTGATTTCTATATTTTTTATTTTTAGTTTCTTATGGCACGTCTTAAATTTTTCCCTATTTTCCCCCTCCCCCCTACTTTTTTCAACATATAATCCAAAAGCGTTCAATATAGAGTCGCTAGATATGGTCTTAGAAAATCGAATGAGATGTATCTCAATGATGTAGCTTGAAAATTATAGGAGGAGAAAAATTTTTAAGAAGATTTATTTTGGACATTTTAATTGTTCAAGGGAGCCAAAGAAGTAAAATCTATTGAAAAAGAAGAAATTTCTAAAAAAGTTCTTAACACCGTAGCTTCAGCTTTTTCATTGCCAATTATATGCGTATTGAAGATACCTTCACGCGTCTTGAGACTTTTTCTTGTCCAGTTTTACGCGAAAAATAAGCAATAAATGTGATTTTTCCAGTATAATTGTTTATATAAAATGCTTCTTTTGTAAAAGTTAAAAACGGCGCCGCGCAAAAATTATTGCCTAACATCAATGAGAAATGATTTGATGAACGCGCATTTTTACAGCTACAAAATGAGTCCAAACACACTGCAATTAACGCATTAATGAACCATAAATTCAATTTTTCAAACTAACCTTTATACATTTTGGGGAAAATTGTTCATTTTATGTATATTTAATGCAGGTTTCGTTGAAGACCAGAGAGTATTTCTTATTGACAATTTTCTTATTATTTTTCTCGACTCGCGAATGAGACACTCACTCGCGCGACGTTGGAGACCCACACCAGAATCATCATGAGATGCCCAGACGCCACAAGACTGACGATAGTTGAGGCTCTCATCATCAAGCAGGAGTTTTTTATCGCACTCATGATTGCTTGGTTTACTTCAGGTCTCGCATTGACGAATCTCGTTTTCTTGAGAGCGACTGTAAAATACGTAAGAAAATAACTGCATGGGCTGACAATAAACTGAAATGAACAAAATAGCGTTAAAACATCTCTGTAAGACATTGTCAATCCAAAAGGTATATAGCGGATCTAGTGATTGAGCCAACTATAGGAATAGTAAGGAATAAGGAGCAGATCGCGCTCGTAGGTGAGCCAGTATTTGAAAGTCCAGCGCTACAACCGCATTTCAAGCTATTGCGGTGCCAGGAGCGTGCGTAATTTGCAAATTACGATTATAACGATTACTATTCCCTGCAAATTCATAAAAAGCCTAGATTCGTAGATACAAATATGCGATCAACTCAAATTCCGCCGATTACCAAAATTCGTTTTTAGAGACACAAACAACCATGACTCACAAGGTGCAGTAACACTCGTGTGATGTCTTCTTTGAACGTATGAATCAATTGTTATTTTTACAATAACAAATGGAACTCTGCGCGTCAAGAGCAACCTTAGATGCCATTATAAAAGCTAACCGTTTCACTGGGCTTCACCGATATATAGATGAAAAAATTTCCATTAGAAATCAACCCTATCAAAAATGTTCTATTCAAGGCGTTTGTTTGTTCATCCACTAGGGAAAAAACTAGGAACTTTAAACAGTAGAAGTCGCTACTTTCGTAGTTAAACAGGGCACCAAGTTTCCTACTCTTCTAGATTGCAATGTTCATTGTATGTCAACATGGTTTCATTAATAGTTTTTTATAACTTACCTGATTCCTCTCTTATGCTTCGTGATTTTGGAAGCTTTCCTTGGTCTTTTGGCGTCGAGCAACGAGCGAAGAACGAGAAGACCACTGAACGAGAAGAGCAAAGTCTTTGAAGAAGCTTCAACGTTTCCCTTATAGTGGACTGAAGCGACGACAGCTCCGCCCCAGCCAGCCTATCCATCTGATAAAATGTTGAAAATGTCTTAACCCGTAAATATAAGTCACATACTATTGTGAAAAAACTTGCTACTCAATTTCCAGATTTCTGGAAGAGTGTCGTGTTTGGTCGCCATAAGTAAATTTTTAACATCTCCGGAATTCTTCTCAAACATAATATATTAGCTTACAATGTAATTGATTACGAAATCTTAGCAGCAAAATTTACGACTGTGTTACATTTAGTGTGAATCAAAGATCACTGGGTAAATACTTGATGCACTGCTACTGCTATCTGGCAGGAACAACCAGATTGTATTTCTGTACTTTGAACCGACACAGTTTTGTGTTCTACAGACCATTCCATATTTACCCTTTTCATTTTTTCTTCTACTGAGATAGCCAAGTGCATGCCAGAGCTGTCGTCGGTGTCCTTTGCTCACTCTGTTCACAAGTATCCCCAATAGGGATGTCTGACTATTCCCCAGTCGCAACACATTCGTCGGTTGCTGCAGTTTCATATGGGCCAGTACACAAGGTTCTGATTGCTTCCTTCGCATCTTGAGAGCAAGTTGAAGGGAGAAGGCTTCCTGTCTTCGTCTACGCTTCTGTTAAAATGTGAGCTCCAAATAGATGATCACTCATGACTGCTCAGCAAAAGAGTATCATGATAAGTTTTTTCCTGCTTTATGAAAGTTTAGAAACATGTGTTGAACATTATTCTCAAATAAACAAGAAACCTAAAAAAATTTCATATACAAGCTAGGCTACAACCCTAAGCCAGAACAAATTCATAACACCTAAAGTGGTGAGTTTGCACATTCACCATTCATAGCTAAAACTTCATTATAATTATATCACGATCTTATTTCTGAGTGCATGTGAGGTGAAAATAATTCATGAGAATGGCACTCAAATGACTCAATGGTCAATTTCATTAGTGCTGTTAAATATTCAACATGGATTCCATATGTAAATAATGATTTTGATTAAAAAACATGGGAATGTTTAAAGTAAGCAGCTAATAAGCTGGAGGAGGCACCAAGCAATGAAAAAAACGTGTTGCCAATACAGGGCATGGCTTTGCACCTGAAATTTACACACAAGTCATACTATATTTCTTTGAACCTTTCTGTATGTGAACCACAGCCCAATAAATAGTGATGCACAAATAGGTCATTTTTCACTTCAACATTACATATATACATGAAACAATTACTGAGATAATACTGTGACACTGTTTTGCATAAAAAATTGATTTCTTAGAAAATTATGATTCCTAAAGAAACAAATATGTTGAGTTAACTGAATATGAATCAGCATTATTAGAGACACACTGACTGAACATTTTGGATCCATCTCCATGAGCTGCACCTGCATTGCTGACCAAACAAATTTCTAACCTGAGGTCTCTACACTAACCAGTCAAGACGTAGGAGTGACTATGAGGGATTTGGAAATACTGAATTCACTACTGCTAACAAAGTCTTTATATAAATGGCATTTTAGATGCAAATTGCCATTATTATGTACATTTTTCTGTGCATAAATACCTTATTCAACAATTTTATTTATTGTGCCCTCCTTAAGCAACCTTTAAAAAACTTGGCTCTGGTATCGTTTTGTCACAAACTTGACTATTTCTTCATGCAGAATGTGGCTATCAGTCATATTAACTATATTCATTTTAAATATGGCTGAAATGGAACCTTTCTTACAATTCCATCATACTAAGCAAAGATATATATCTTGCTACAGTAAAAAAACTACAAGAAACCCAAAAACTTGCTCTCTTTCCATTAAAATCAAATTTACAATAAAATTTAAATCTAAAAAATGATCTATTGTATACCCAAGGTTCAACGGTCATACATTTTCATTAAGAAGCATTTTTATACTCGTACCGAGTTCTGTTCAAATTAGTTAATTCAATTATTGCCTACTCAAAATGAGTCTGATGTTAATTTTTACAAGCATTCCAACCTGTAAAGATATAACCTAAATACCCATTGATCTATTAAAATATGGAGACATCATTGTATGCAACGCTGAAAATTTGTTCTGATAAAATAGAATAAATTAGGAGCAATTGTCTTCTTTGATTGTTTGAGATTTTATTTAAATGACCCACACTCATGTAACAATTGACATAAATTGCCATTAGTCTCCACTTCCTATTACAACTGAGACTTCTCTAACCTACACTGGTAGTTTTTATTACTAGTAACCACTAACTAGGTGCCTATACTAATACTCTAGTAACTTTATCACTATCAGTATCATGAAGGTGCAATATTTGAGTCAATATTGCCTAATGTCAACAATAATATATATGTCTCGATTCTCTACTTCCATGTGTTAATATCAAAAGCAATGTCACACACACTGACACACACATATATACATACATATATCATGATTAGGTTTTATGTAGAGTATATGTAATTTTTGAAAACCTGACAGCTTAACTTCAAGGTTTCTTTGTGGAATTGATTTAAAAAAAATCTGCTCCACACATTAAGATTGACTAAACTCGAGCAATGAGTTCATATGGGATGACCCTGAATTCTGAAAAGACATTTACAGACAGGTCTTTCTATTGGCAAGCTTCCATACTTGGCAGCGCAGCACCATGACAGCACATCATCATCTAAATCAATCAAAAAGTATAAAAAAAATTCTAAAAAAACTTTGTTTACTTCTAAAAGTATACAAAAAAGAGGAAAGCAAGGTCAGGCAAAATGGTGAATGAGATTCACTTGACCTTCCTTGTTACTATTTGAGCCCGTTAAGTAGAGTACTGGACCAGTATCATTCATAAATACCAGCATGGATTGAAGAATTGTCCTTCATAAGATATAGAACCACGAGATTGAAGTAGATCAGGAAAGTAAAAATGTATGATCTCTAAGAAAACATCTCAGTTGTCAGTTTCACCATGACTGTAAGTAACTGGTCTAGGAGGAGTGTTATTAGAGCAGAAAGCAAGGGGAACAATAATTTGTGGTCATATTGAAGATGAAAGCAGCCAAGAAGGGAAAATAAAGTATAAGAGAAAGTTATAGCTTAGGTATATCAATATTTTGAAAATGATTATTTACTGAACAAATGCACATTTGATCATTTTTTGATATATACCTATATTGGATGTAAAACTGTGGTTTATTATGTTTTGCTAATATTTGGAACTGATTAGGTTTCAACAAGGCTGGAATGATCTTGAATATATGAACCAACCAGTAACCACTAAGTCACTAACCACTTAAACCACCATAATGATGCTGATGCATCATGCATTTCATAGTGGTTGTGGTTTAAATAAATAAATTCATGGTGATGGTGATAAATCAGAGATTTTTTTGAATCAGTTCATTTCAATTTCTTCAATTATACTCAAGATTTAAATCAATTATTATTGTATAATAATGCTAATATCCATGATACTTTACTGGTCTACATATAGGACTCGAAAATGAACTTGAGGTAGAGTGGTAGACTCTAAAACCTCTCTGCTTTGCCAGTGCCACCATTTCTAAAATAACGACCAGACCAGGCACAGCTAGAGCACTTAGGTAGCCCTGACGTAGGCCTTGTGTTACTGCAACAGCAGTCACTGCAGTTTCATATTAAGCAAAAAATTTTTTATATGCAACTAAAATTTGTGAATTTTTAAAATCTGAGACGATTGCACCCTAAAATTAATCAGTAATTATTTCAAATCACCATGACCGTTGACCGCCATTACCTAACCACCACGCGTCACGACTTACAACGGTTACGAACCCCTAGAACTTCTAAGACTAAGAGCTGTAGTATTTGTGATCCATCGTATTAACTAACATACAGATACATTTTCATTTCAACTTTCCAACTCACACAGCTAAAATTCATAAATTGTTCCAACGACAGCCAGCCACCATCCGCAGCCATCTCACACTTGCTTTCCTTCTGTGTTCTGTACTAATCTGTTTCTGTAGTCGTTCTCAATCGTCGGCCTGCAAGCAGTGTTCCAATACTTCATCGGTTCAAAAAATTGGCATATACCTCCATTTCAATCTATTCATGTTTCATGAATATTGCTACACCACCATCACATAAATTTTAAAATATTTATCATATGAATAAAATATTTATGATGCATATGAAAATATTCTTAGACCGAAATATATAACTTGAAAAGTTTTTAGATGAGCTAATTACTACCGTGCAAAAAAAACTACTGCTTGTGTTCAGGCACCTTTACGTAAATCTTCCACTTGAAGCAAATGAATATTTCTCAGTCTCCTGCATCAGAACAATAATCGATTAGCTGGATTCCATAAATACATCCTGTTTCCTTACTATAATAGTCTGCATCACTCGAAGGCTTGAAATATTTAGACTACATTTCCTTATGTTCACGAACTGTTTTTTAGAATTCAAAAAATAATTCACTTCTACTTCGAGTGATGCCGACAGACAAGAAATTAGTTATTTATTTATTGATAAAAGATTAGTTATTTATATTTATTTCATAGTCATTTAATTATATTTAATTAATTGAATAATTTCATCTTCTTTTTCATCTCTTCGAATAATTTCATCTCTTTCATATAAATTTTATTATGAAACCAAAATAATATAGATTTTTTGTTTATTGATAATTGAAACGCTAGGTCGGTTGAATGCAAATGAACTGTTAACTGCCATTACCCAAAGAAATCGATATTACATACAATTGTGAGGCCTAGTCTGCCATTTAACCGATTCATAAAAACATTTGCTGAATATATCAGGGATCCATTTTAAGTTTATTTACAGGGATTGGGCATGCTCGTACTCAAACGTCTCGGAGGCTTCTGCCCGGGGCCTTCTGTCCAGGGCTTGATTTGCAGCACCTGCGCAGCGTGCAAGTTCGGTATAATTGGCCGAGCCAACTCATGCAATACTCCTAGGCGACTATAAAGTCGGCATGGAGCTTCTGACTAGTTGCTGATCGCGGTCAGGTGGCCAAGCAGACCCAGAATTACTCTAACGCGAGCATAGCGACTCTGGGGCGGAGGCTGAAGCATACCTTGAATTTTGTTAGGGTTCAAGCGGCTGTCCGAACGGCTTGTGAGTTCAGCTTAAACTTAACACAAGTTTACATGAAAATAGGAGGTTATGATCTGATTTTTAGAATAGCTTGATTAAGGGGGCTTGGTATTTTTTTAGTAAATTTGCTTTAGGAACGCTCGTATTACACTGCCTCTTAACGCTGCTGATTCTTATTTATAGTCGTTCCGATCGTTCAATGTAGCTAAAATGCTTTATTTAAAAACGGTTATCCCGTCTTTTCCTGTGTAATGATCGCACATAAATTTTCCACATGACGGTAATAGCAAAATCAACTTCAGTGCTGGTCATCACATTAATTAAGCCCTGCGTACAGTTGTACTTGACTACTTAATTTATAATGAGATAAATGGATGGCATTGAGAAATGATATAAAACTTAATTTGGCCCTGCATGTAGGGACAATGAGTGGGCACTATATATGAGCAGCTAACTTCTCCTACCTTTAGAATGGGCTCGGTTTTGGGTAGCATGGAGTGGGCAGCAAACTGCAGGCTTTTAAGTGGGCTCGGTATTGATAGACATGGAATGGGCAGACAACTGACGTATTTAGAAGCTTCGTCTGCAACGTCTCTCGGTGGGGCTGGTGACAGTCAATGACCGCAAGGAGCCTTCAATTCTATACTGAAGAGTTAAGGCCCTGATTGAAAACCGTGCGAAGTCTGAGAGCGAGGTTTTCGCGACCATCGTGTAAAATCCTTGATCTGCCCGAAGCTCGGCCAGTCGCTACCGTAGAGCTTGTACTCTTTGTAATATGATATCCTAGCCAGCCCCTTTTTCACGGCAATTGGTCGCTTTCAGGTGGCCGAGGAATGGCCAACGGTCGGCTATAACTTATTGGATTAGGCCGACCACTGGACACGTATTATTCTTCGCCTCTCATTGAGTTCGCCTTCACCATGCCGCCCGTCGTGAACTGACAGTCGAGTAATTAATACAAACCAGAGCCTTAAGGCCCTGGTTGAAGGTCGCGAGGCTTCTAATAGGCTTGGCTCTTCCCTAAGCGTTTCTTCACAAATTTGAATAGACTTTACTCCACTCGTAAATGAGATGGCGATATGGAGTTTTCCATGCTTACCCAGCTATTTATTTATAAGCGGCAAACAGTAACAAAAAATATGTAAACTTTGAATTAAAAGAGTTTCAATGAGAGGAAATTTCAAGAAACTTTGAATATTATTGTTCATCAAGTCTGCGACTTTTTTACTTTTTTCGAGATGTAAAAGGATTGTAATTTTTATTTTCCATTGAATGGTATACTCGGCATTCCTTGATCAGCCTCCTTGTTGTAAATATTCTTTCTCAAAAAATAGTTATGATCGAGCCTGCTGATACGCGGAGGGAAAATCCCGCATACTAGCTGCTCAAATGGAGGCGTTGTGGAAAGTTTGAGGGGAAAGAGACGTCGTAAATTACTCGACTGTCTGTTCACGACGTGCGGTATGGTGCCGGGAACTCAATGAGAGGCGAAGAATAATACGTGGCCAGTGGTCGGCCTAGTCCAATTAGTTATAGCCGACCGTTGGCCATTCCTTGGCCAACTGAAAGCGACCAGTTGCCGCGAGAAAGGGGCTGGCTAGGATATCATATTACAAAGAGTACAAGCTCGAGGGTAATGACTGGCTGAGCTTCGGGCAGATCAAGGATTTTACACGATGGTCGCGAAAACCTCGCTCTCAGACTTCGCATGGCTTTCAATCAGGGCCTTAAGGCTGGGAGTCAGACTGCGGCGAAGTCTGAGAGCGAGGTATTCACGACAACGGTATGAAATCCTCGTTCCGTCCTTAGCTGAGCCAGTTTCTACTCGCGAGCTTGTAGTCTGTAATATCACTAATATGATCCGAGCCAGCACAGTTTTAGGGGCAATGGGCGCTTCCAGGTGGCCGATCAATGGCCAGCGGTTGGCTGGAATTAATTGGTCTCGGCCGACAACTGGCAACGTATTATTCCTCGCCCCTCATTGAGTTCCCCTTCTCCGTACCACTGACTCGTGAACTGACAGATGAGATTTAGGACGCTTTATTGTTTCCCCTCAAACTTTTCACAACGCCTTGTCAATAGACTGGATTTTCACTTCACGAATAAGCATGCTCGTTCATAACTAGTTTGTGGTAGATAATATCTACATAAAGTGGCTGATCAAGAAATGCCGAGGATACCATTCATTGGATAATAAAAATTATTACCCGTTGGCATCTCGAAAAGTGTAACAGTCACCGACTTGGCGAACACTAATATTCAAAGCTTCTTGAAATTACCTTCATCGTAACTCTTTTAATACAAGGTTTAAATATTTTTTTGTAACTGACCACCGTTTGTAAATAAATAGCTGGGCAAGCATGGAAAAATTTATATCGCCATCTCATTTAAGATTGGAGTAAAGTCCAGCATTTTCTGTGAAGAAACTCATAGGGAAGAGCAGGCCCTGTTCGAAGGGTCGCGTTCTCAATTAGAGCCTTAACAACGTCTCGAATATACATGACTCGTCATGAAGCTAGTAACAATTTTAATATGGCCGTAATTCGCCACTTCGTGCATAAAATATTTTAGAAAAGTAATGTACAGCGATTTCAATGCACCTTGAATACCTATCCCATTTGAAAATATAAATAAGGTTAGATCAGTATTTATATCATCAGTCTGCTTAAATCGCCGGTTCACCAGGAATTAAAAAAGCATAGAAAATGTAAAATAAATTAATTATCTTTTCATCCCAAACATTTCGGAGACCAAGCTCCATTATCAGGTACAAAATTTAAGCTACAAGTACAACGACAATTTGATAAAGCACGGCAAGGTGGTGGAGCAACATTTTTTTCTACATGATCTCAGTGTGCAGGTCCGATCTCAAGTTACAATGTCCAGTGGGCGAACTCTCTTCAGTATCATGAAATTAGGCTAATAATCTTATTGAGAGTATATCTTGTATTAAACAACAGCTTCTGCCGACCTACAGTAATACATATATTTCATGTCGGAATTTAAGAGTCTCTTGAATTCAACAGAAACACTCACTTGAAACTGTACGCGGTGGCTCAAAAATCGGTCTGGATCTGAAAAATTAAACAAATCTTTGTTAACAACTGCCATACGGCGTGTAGAAAAATAAATAATAATAATAAATAAAAAAATATAAATAAATAAGGCGTGTCAAGCCTGGAATATTCTGCTCATAGAATTGGATTGAAAAATTGATATATATTTTTATGAAGTTACTTTATTCAATAATTTAGGAGGAGATTTCTAATAAATGGGTTTACATTATTATGCCTTAATTTACAGCATCGTAGGTTTATGAGTCCTATTCACCTTGGCTGGGGAAAAAGCTGCAATTTACACTAACGACAAATCAACATATAATAGAAATCTCTTGTTGAGGCTATCAAGTTTCTCTTCGGTAGAGATCATTACCTAGTCTCGGCTATAAGAAATTATTACCTAGTCTCATCTATAAAGATTGATTCCTAGCCTCTGCTATAATGACTATATTATTACCTAGTCCCTGCTATAAAAGATTACTACATAGTCTCTGTTATAAAGACTATTTTAATGTCTCTACTATAAAGATTATCACCTAGTCTCTGCTATAAAACCTATTATATAGTCTCTCTTATAAAGATTATTGCCTAGTCTCTGTTATGAAGATTATTACCTAGTCTCTGTCATAAAAATTATTACCTAGTATCTGCTATAAAATATTTTGCGTGATGGGTCAAATTGATTAGGTTTTTTCTGTCGTAAAGTTTACACATATTTTGTCCACATCGTCAGTCTTGCAAGAAAACAGATATGATATGTAATGAAAGATATTGATTTAAAAAAATGTATAAAAATGTCTCTAATTATTATCACTGATAGATTAATGATAGACTTCTCAGTGATAATATCAGTGAGAAATTATTATCACTGTCAACATTGATTCAACGTTTGTAGGTCCCGCTTGCGACCGTGGCGATCGGGTATTTATTTCATGTTTGTACATACGTACAAACTTTGAATCAAGGTTGAAAGAATTGTTTTCCGTATCAATTTCACAGCGATAATATTAAGGGACATTTTTATACATTTTATTATTTATTAATATTATTATTACTTATTAGGGTAACATGGGGCAGCGAGCCCACTGCGGGTCATGGGCCCATAGCGGGTTTCTCGCTAAGTATGGCAGATATTGGTCCGTGTTCTCTACCGCCGGTCGACAGTTTCACTGGGATGAAGTGTACGGATTTACGTTTTGCTAAGTGTTTGCGCTATTAAGTTATTTGTGAAAATCTGTTTTAGTCCAGATAAAAATTTTTTTGCTGCTAAATAAAATTTTTTTCGATTACTGTAGATGAAGCTTTGAAACTCCTGTCAATTATATTTTCAAAGTAATATTTATAGGGATAATTTTGAGATCCAGTTTAGACTATTAGCTTTTAAAATAAAATGTTGATGAGATATAAATAGAAATGATACCTAGTGGGGCAACGGGCCCACGCGTGTCACGGGGCAAAGCGCCCATGTTGAAGTCTTGTGTTATACATCATTAGATTTGTCTCAATGACCTTTTCAAACTATGACTAGCTTTTTAAATTACAAATTACACTTCATATTGCATGATTTTTTTATTTGTGGCCTTAAGGCAGCAGGTTTAGTTTCTAGTTGTGCGTAATTATGACCCCTTATCGAGTTATTGACTCTTGCCTTGCCAAAAGTTGATTTCAGTCAACACCAATGAGCCAAAAGTTGATGAGTTTTTATGGTGTTGGCTGAAATCACGATTAGGTACGAATTCTCTGCACATAATATCTGATTATAGACGAAACTGGAACGAAGTTTTTTTCTGATCAACTAAATATATTTTTTCTAGTCAAGGATTCATTTATTCATGTCAGGGACGAATTTTTTACCGCAAGGATATATTTTTTAAGTCAAGGATATATATTTTTATGTCAATGAAATATTTTTCTTCACGTCAGTGATAGATTTTTAAGGCAAGAGTATATTTTTTTCAAGTTAAGAATATGATTTTTTTTGAGTTGTTAATAAATGAGTGAATGTCATATTTTTATTACATTTTCTTATTTTTAACTGTAAAGTGTTGCTTTTTCATTTTTAAACAAAAAAATATGCATTTATGGTCAAGGGACCAAGGGTGGGCGCCTTGCCTCAAGCCCATGGGTCCATTGCCCCAGGGGTGGGGCAATGGGCCCATTTTGACACTTTTTACAAAATAGTGTTTCATTAAAAATTGAATAAATATATAGGCGTCTAATTCACATCATACATTCCTCATTAGTTGTATCTTTAAACAAAACAAAGAACCACCTCGTATCAATTAAAACTTCATCAAAAATTTAGTTTAAAAAAAGTGGGGGGTGTGCTGCCCCATGTTGCCCTATTAGACACTTATTATTTCATGGGGCCTGATATTAGGAACATTCATCACACACTTCTATGCATCCATCTGAAAAATGAACCGACTTTGAATACCGCACACTAATACATAATTTTTGCAAATAAGCTAACAAAAATAGCGCATAATCTACCGTTGTATATGTCAACTTACGTGCCATTGATGTGCATAAGCGTGATTGTGATCAGGACCCCCGTAGTGAGTATCACTAGTGTAGGACAGTTGATGCTCCGTCCGATACGTAACAGTCTCTTGGACGCCATCTTCCCTGTTTGTGTTGTAAGGTCAAGGGCTCGGTTAGTTTTTTGCGATAAAGAAGAAAATTGATGAACATTGGATGATCGCGCTTTGGATCGATGATAAATGGACAATCGCTGGATGAACTATGAAATACGGGTTTTAAATTAATTTCAAATTAAAAATTGCATCTGTTGCTGCCCTCTTTGCAGCACCAAGGCAATATTTCTGACATCTCTCTGTGTTTTTTTCTGCGATCTAAAATTTGATTGCGAAACACTTGAGGTATTCAGTTTGCTCTAAGCATGGAATACAAGAAAATTTTCTTCCTCTGTTATGGAAAAGCAGTCCCTCTATTAGAAATATTTTTTCTTTACTAGCTAAAAAAATAACAATTACATCAGCTGTTATGATTGTGTAAACGTAGAACAAATTTATGGTCATTTTTATTTCAATGAATGAGTTTATCTCATAGCATTGAAAATCGCTCGGGAGGCTTCTCTGGTAATCAGCAGAGTAGAGCACTTTGATTTGTTGATTTCTAGGTTATAATTTGCTATTATAATATACAGATAAAATTGCATCGGCCATTCGTACGTACGAAGAGCGAATTGCACGAATAATGAAGACTCGCTTCTGGGCTCGTTATTTGCAGTGAATTTGGGAAGTAATTATTGACGGATTCTAGCTGAAAAATATATGTTTTTATTTTAATTTATCTGCAAAAATATCGGTATCATGATGAATTGAGTTCATGCACACTATTTTATAATTTTTGTGACTGAAATGAGAATGGGAAATTAGATGACTACGTTCTACCACATATGTATTACGATGAAATTGTGTTAAAATATCAGGTCCCAAAAGCAATTAATGTATACATGCCGAACACTTGTTCAAGCTTCTCGTGATTGCATGAGGTTGACATACCTACCTCTCAGTTGCCCTAGATGTTACATAGTAAACAATAATCACACCTATAGTTCAAGACGTTAATAACGCATTTTCGTTTGCTATGTAAATGTTACGATGGAAATATTTTATGAATTCAATGGAAATTATTCATTTTTATACTTCACAGTATCTAAATTTAATGACCAATGTTTACGAAAAACATAGAATTGTAGAAAAATTACTTGGCTAGGAGACCGAGTTAGATTTTAGCGATCAGAAAGAGGGAACGCGTAAACTTCAGAACAAAGATCTATGTGGATGATATAGCGCGAGATCTAAGTAAGTAGCAATATGATTAAGTAGCAATACGAGTAAGTAGCAATATGATTAAGTAGCAATATGAGTAAGTAGCAATATGAGTAAGTAGCAATATGAGTAAGTAGCANTAAACTAACTGGTAAACTAAGTGGTAAACTAACTGGTAAACTAACTGGTAAACTAACTGGGAAAATAACTGGTAAATTAACTGGTAAACTAACTGGTAAACTAACTGGTAAATTAACTGGTAAACTAACTGGTAAACTGACTGGTAAACCAGCTGGTAAACTAACTGGTAAACTAACTGGTAAATTAACTGTTAAACTATCTGGTAAACTATACCTGGTAAACTAATTGGTAAACTGACTGGTAAACTAACTGGTAAACTAACTGGTAAACTAACTGGTAAATTAACTGGTAAACTAACTGGTAAACTGATAAACTGACTGGTAAACTGACTGGGTGCTATGGTAATCTAACTGGGGTAACTATGCCTCTAAACTAACGAGGCGCTAATTTCAGGGTGACGAAATATATAATTCGACTTTGTTTATGAACAATTACCTATTTCTCATCGTTCAAATAATATTTCATGAAAAGGTAAATTCAATCATGAAAAGGTAAGTGAATGTGTGATTCAACAGGGGTATATTATTTTTTTGTGTAACTGTCTTAATTTTTAGCGGATATATAAACGCTCGGAATTTACCGTGCATTTTAATTTCATCATAGAGAATGATTTGCAAAACTGTTCGGACCACTTGAAACGGGTTTTCTGTACTGGTTTGCGACCGCGACAGTGACATATAACCTCATTGGCTGCAGGAAGTTAGAAAGGCGATCCAAGTGTGCTGGTAGAGCCAGGCATTGGCTGCAAGAAGGTTGTGAGCCGGGACAGCTTGAATATATAGGTTTGGCCGGAGTAGGTACGGCCGGATAAGAAACTGCCTGCTTATGAGCGAGTATGCTGAAGCATTGGCTGAAGGCCTACGGTGCTTTTATCTTTCGGCAGTGTGTCGCTTGTCTGGATTACGGAGTTCAAAAGCGTAGCATGAGGCTTCTATCGTTGAGGGTGACATAAGTAAATACATGGTGAAGCAGGGCGTTGGCTCCAGGGCTTATTTAAGAGTAAAATCCGCGGCTAAAAAAACGAAGGCAAAATCGAAAAAATTGTCACGAGCTAAACATCACCGTTGGGAGGTTAGGTTTCTATATGCGAAGTATCGTTCGAATCTGTTCAGTATTTTAAAATATATCTCTGGTACACTGCGAATTTAAGCACTATTTTGGTGTTTAAGTCACGAATGAGGGAAAGAAAAAAATACTCGCCAACGAAGGCAAAACGTAAAAAATTTTCACGAGCTAAACGTGTCATTTCGGATATATTTCAAAGTTTGGGCAAGTTTATATATACATTTATGAAAAATTTCAAAATAAACATGGGCAAAGCTTGGCAAATGTACAGACAAAATTGGACAAATTTAGTCTGTAAAAAGTACTGACAAAATTTCTGAAAATATAGGGAAAAATAAAGCATATTGAAAAAAAAATTCAAAATGAACTCTAAGAAGAAGGGACAAAGTTTCGATCGAATTCAAATTATGTGCAGACAAATTTCAGATAAATCACAAAGTCTACTAAATTTTGACAAAATTTAACCAAATACCGAGCAAATCCGACAATATATCTTGGACAAAAAGTTAGAAAAATGTCATGCAAATATGGGAAATATGATATATAAATCACGAGCAAGTAACGAACGAATCTCGGACCAACATGCTGATGAATCTCAAAATGGAAATCTTAAGTTACATGATAATTGGAAACGAAGGTGAAGAAGGTTATCCATTTTGAACCGAGTTCTACGAGGTTTTCTTATAGCATTGTTTACATTTGCAAATTAGAAATTTGGTTCGAGATTATAGGATTCGTGATGACAGGATTTGGGTTATCGCTATTTTTAAATAAGTAAATATAGCGCATGTCAACGCCGGCATTGCAAGCTAGTAATTTCAATAATATATTTAGTTGAGGCTTTTGAAGGCAAATGTTACCCACCTTTGAGATAACATATATTTTATCAGATATTAGTGCAGTTTATAGAATCTGTATTGAAGTGATTTAATATCCGACATACTCAAACTAGAAGAGGAGCATTTTTTTATTTCGAGGACCTTTTAAATTCTCCTAAGATTTACGGATTGCGAAGTAATCGTTCCGCCGACGATTTCTTGATCATTTCATGAGCACTTCGTTATGTTTATACATGGAAAAATAACAAGGTTTTGATCAAATTGTATTAGGCAGGCATTATGAAGAGAGTAAAAATTACCAGGTATTTTAGACCACAAAGTTAAACTCACGGCAGAATAAACCTTGAAGGCTCGGAAATCGTCGTCCACGGCCGACCAACTCAGTATGACTCCACTGTACCCGGGCTCGAGGAAAACAAGATTATCATCCTGGCCACGTTTGCGCCGCAATGAAAAAACCAAATGAGCCACATAACAAAATTTTTGTGGAATATCACTCTTCCGCATTGAAACTTCATGCTCGAAAAAAACAAGCAGCAAGCAATAAATGCATAGTTTTCATCTGTAACTAATAATTTTCAACTTTTGTTGTCATGTATACCTAATACTAGTAACTTGTATACCTAATCTTGTCTAGTATTAGGTATACCTGTCATGTATACCTAATACTAGAAACTTAATACTGGCTTAAGATCGGAAGCTGACTATCGGCGAATCAGATAATGATATACACGTGGCAAAAAATTTTTATTCAACTAATTGGACGAAATTGAATGGTAGATTAAAGAAAGATAAACAAACTTCGTGGATTTCTGCACATCAAAGAAATTATTGTTAAAAATTAAGCCGAGAAGCTCCCAAATGCTTCAATTTGTGCCAATTATCAAATTAAACAACGATAAAAATTTCGTACGCTTTAGGATGCTCAATTATGCACGTCTTTTGCCAAGTCTCTTTGAACAATGAAATCAGTGTCGAGAAATCTAGACCAAGGTTTGTACAAGTTCAACTTCCTTTTTATTTGCAGTGTCGTAACGAAAGGTCGAGTTCTTTTAAATAACGTTTTCGGTTAAGTTTTATTCAATGATTTATTCTATTGTCGATAAGCTTCGATAATTTTCTGGTCAAGCCCGAAAATCGCCATTTTTTGTATCTGTTCCGAGCACTTCTGCATGCTTTCTCTATCCAATAGTTTTTGCCGATTTTTTTACGGGGATCTGGCTCTATTTTGATTCACTATTGTTTTATCTTACGGTGCGTAGCGAATAATAGCGATACTCGAATACGTGATATGATTATTATTCTTTCACATTACAGTTGATTTTTTTTCTTCATTGGTTTTAACCCCATAACAAAACGAAGGATTCACTTACGCAGCTGCAACCATGCTTTTATTATATGCGACGTACAGAGTCAAATAGAGAAGCAAAGAAATATCATTATTATCAAGACGATATAATTTGGAGCCGAACAGGCGATCCCGACGCTTTCAATGATATAGATATTTTCTGAACTTTCTGAATCTATTACATATTTTCCCGAGTTTGTTTGTATATGTGAGTGTTTCATTGGAGCCTGACAACGAGAATATATAGGCTGTGTGAGTACGCATCCACAATACTTTTTTTGCGTCGGAATCTTATCTGCAACTGAAATCGGTGTCGCAGAACTATCATAGGTGGTATTTTCAAATATAGAACAGTAGGATAAAAAGGAATCGAAAAAATATACAGGGAAGCGAATTGCAAAAATTTTTTCGAGTAGGGATTTACCACACATTTAATATACAATTAGGCGGGATTTCCTCAGAAGAATCGTAGAACTGAAAATCAAATGGTGTAAATGTCAAGCTCCATGATCTTCGGAAGAGTTACACTTACTTTTGAGCCAATAAGGAATGTAAACCATTCTGCAATATTATTTTATACATCTCAGAGGGAGTAATTGTTGCAGTAATAAGTCGTTAAATGCTATTGACAACCAGTTGTCTACCATCTAGCACGATGCATCATTCCAGGGTATATTTCGGTCAAGTTTTTTTATCAAATCACTCGCGGCGTCCCAATGAATCATGAAAAGCTACTTTTGATCGGTATTCAAGATTCTTATGTAAATTTTATGTTTTTATTCAGTATTGTTTTAAATTATTTGACTTCTTTTTTATAGTCAGCCAATTTCTTGCCTGTTGTGCCGGTGAAGGTACGTGGTTCTGTGGTTCTATTGCTTGAATAAAATTTTTAAAGGAAGCTTGTTTGCGCGTATTTGACACACAAACCAATGCACTTATCTTGCAAGAGTCTCTTCCAACAGCCTGAAGACTTCCCCTTTCAGTTCAGTATGAGCTGCTGTTGCGTTCTAGCCCTTGGGCCATACTTTCAAAACTGGCTAAGTGAACGTAAGTATTTACGCTCTATTTTCTTGTCTATGATTGGTGGATTTTGCTCGAAAGGCCGTCAATGATTGGCTGATGAACTTACGATCTCTTAACTTTTTTTGAAAGTATAGGCCCATGGCTGCAACTTTTGATGTATCCATAAACTACTTTAGGAGACAGGAAATCTATTATACTTGATGCAATGCAAGTATCAATGTCACTCGATTGTGTTCAAGTTGCAAATTCATTAGATTTTTACAAGCCAATCTAAGCAATTTCAAAACGATTCACCATCAGATGAAACGTTTCGGAGTCCAGGTCCATCAGTTTGAGAATACTGCAATTAGTTCATAGTACAATCAAAATTAAGAGAAAAACAGAAATTTGAGCTTAAAGTTACAGACAAAATACATAGTAAATTATCACACACATAAACCAATCTATTCAATATTCAGAGTGGATGTGAACTGAAGGCTGCGTTCAAGCTGTAAAAAATTTACAAGGATTCTAAAACACGCCAATTTGAAACACCATAGTTGAATAAATCACTATCGAATCAGATATGTACGTTACACTGCTCAGCGTGAAAGCGCAGAGCCGAATGAAAGAAGGGCGCTAAAAAATGTCCAATTCTACAACTCCTTTCCCTAATTACGCTCTGAAAGTTTAAAAGTAAGAGTGCAATTCATACCAACGTACGCAGATGCGCATCGCGCACAACTGTATTTTTAAAGTAGAGACGAACACATATCAAAGAAATAAGATATTTGTACCTAAAGAATGACCCGATTTTCAAATTATTCGTCAACAAAACAAGAAAATTAATATTTGAAAGGTATTTGAAGAACAAAAATTTTTACTTATTTGAACATAGTTCCAGGTGCAGGGCCGAAGCATGGAAAATAACAATAAACAACGTTCCTATATAGAGCTCGGAACCACCCCAATATATCGGAAATTTAGACAATTCAAGATTAGGAATTACACAATTCAGTAATACTTATCTAAACAAAACAATGAGGTCTTTAATTTGCCACACATAATTTTTATGTTGTTGTTAGAGGACGCAGTGCAATAGTGTTTTATTACAGTTAGGTATTCTGATTTTGGTTTTAAGTCACCTCGGACGTGACCTCGTTAAGATATGCTCTGCACTTATCCATTGCTGTGTGATCCACCACGGAGGTACGCATTATTATATACTTATCATTTTGGTATGCTGATATTTGTGATAACTTTCTTCTTCAATTCAATGGTAGTGTTGAGAGGTGTTCATGATTATTATTTAAGCATTGTAATATTTATTTATCTGGTTTTCATTATATTCTACCTTTGCAGAGGTGGGCAGTAGCGCGCTACATGTAGCGGCCGCTTCATTTTCAGTAGCGGTAGCGGCGTTATTTTTAAGGCAATGTAGCGATAGCGGTAGCGCCCGCTACATATTTAAGTAGCGATACGAGGTTTTACCGCTACCGCGCTACCGCTACATTTATAAATAAAGCCTTAAGATCAGTGGTTCCCAAAGTGGGTGATATCGCCCCCCTAGGGGCGGTAGAAAGATTTGTGGGGGCGATAAGGAAGTAGAGGGTGTTTGGGGGGCGGGAAAGAGGGGCGGCAGTCCGAAGTCAAAGTCAGAAGTTCCAAAGTTTGTTTGACGATTTGTACACAACACGTGCAGCACATTATGACTCCCAGCGATGGTTTTTTCACCCAGATATGCATTTTTAACCTCTCCTGGGTTTACGTCGCGGATAAATTAACGGCCGGACTCGCGGCCAATTTCCAAATTCAATGATCATGGAATATCTATCTAACTATTAAACTTAAATCGATGAAACTTGGTACACGTGTTCATTAGGAACTAACGGTAATGTTTAGCTCGTGAAAATTGTTTGAATTTTGCCTTCATTTTTTTGCCACCGTTATATGGCAATACGGGCCGAAATTCACAGGGATCAAGGAATTTCTTCCAACCTATTGAACAGATTCGAACGAAATTTTGAATTTACAGTTCTAACCACCGAACGGTAATGTTTAGCTCGTGAAAATTTATTCGATTGCGCCTTTGTTCGCGAGTTTTTTTTTCATTTCATCTTCATTCGTGATTTAAACAGCAATACGTGCTCAAATACGTACAATCAAGAAATTTCTTCCACAACTACTGAATAGATATGAACGAAACTTAGTATTTAAATACCTAACCTCAGCAACGGTGATGTTTAGCTCGCTCCAACTTTTTCGTTTTGCCTTCGTTTGCGAGTTATACGTCTATACTTATACGGATATACGTAAACGGCTCCTGGTTAAACCCTCCGGTAGAAAAGCCAGTCGATCCTTTTATATATCTGTATACCTCGCGAACGAAAGCAAAATAGAGAAATTGTCACGAGCTAAACGTCACCATTGAGAGGTTAGGTATTTATATACAAAGTTTCGTTGAAATCTGTTTAGTAGTTTAGAAGAATATTCTTGATCGCCGCGAATTTAAGCGACTAATTATCCGGCGATACGGGCTGAATATAAGGAAGTGTGAAATCAAGAATGACGGTGAAATAAAGAAAAACTCGCAAACAAAGGTAAAATCGAAAATTTTTTTACAAGCTAAGAATCATCGTTTGGTAGTTAGGAATGTATATTGAAAATTTTGTTCAAATCTGTTCAGTAGTTTGGAATAAATTCTGTGATCACTGCGAATTTTGGCCTGTATCGCAATATAATAACTCACGAATGAAGGTAAAATTTAATAATTTTTACGAGCTAAAAATCCGCGTTAGGTTCTGATGTTTACATGTTCCAAGTTTCATTGAGCTACGTAAATTAGTTAGCCACGAGTCCGGTCGTACATTTGCCCGAGACGTCCTAGGTTTCTAGTGCTGAAACAGTTAAAACAGCTGAAAAACATACGTATTGGTTCACTAAATGGGGTTCTATTCGTGAAATTCACATTAGTGTTTAACCTTTATCTTTTAAAATTGCAGCGTACTAAATTTCAATAAAGAGGCGTGTTTTTA